GTAAAAAAATGTGCATTTATTATTTTTGTCTACAGGAGCCTGGAAAGCATTACACCAGCACTCAGTAGATCACTGATGCCATGCAGGTCTCCTGCAGAATTGTCAGTATATCTGCTTGCCGTACAGGATGTACTAGCAAGCAGATATTCTGACAGGAAGCTTCAATGAACTACCATGGTGCTCTACAGCGTTTTGGTAGTTCATTGAAAACTGCAAGCCCACAGCCGCTAAGGTTGCTGGGACTTGCAGTTCATTCATTCACGGAAGTCCATGAATGAATGGCGCAGTCGTGTGGTTTTCAAATCTGACAGATATATTTGGGGAAACTTCTCCCCGTACTATATGTTGGGGGATGGGGGGGGGGCAGCAGGTGTGACTGCGGCTATGAGAACATGTTACATGTTCCACCCTAAAAATCGGTGGAACATGTAACATGTTCCAGAGGTGAACTTATCATTTAACCACTTCAATACCGGGCACTTATACCCCCTTCCTGCCCAGGCCAATTTTCAGCGCTGTCACACTTTGAATGACAATTACACGGTCATGCAACACTGTACCCGTATGAAATTTTTATCAATTTTATTCACACAAATAGAGCTTTCTTGTGGTGGTATTTAATCACCACTGAGTTTTTTATTTTTTTGCTAAACAAAACAAAAAGCACCGGAAACTTTTGAAAAAAAAAACCTACACACTTTTCTTCATTTCTGTTATAAAATTTTGCAAATAAATAGCATTTCTTCATACATTTAGGTCAAAATGTATTCTGCTACATTTCTTTGGTGAACATAATAATAATAATTGAATTTGTATTTTTTTTTATACTATTTTTTATTACATTTTTTCTTTTTTTTTTTACTATTTTATTTTTCAGCACACTGTGACCAAAGCAATACAATGTTACCATAGTAACAATGAACTACTCTGGGCAAGTGATCAGGATTTTTTTTTTTTTAACACATTATGATTGCTAATACCAATGTATTTCATTGATATTTGCAATCATTGTTACTGAATGAAACTGATTCATTCAGTCTTTTGTTGTGATTAGCTGTGATTGGGCAAAGCTGGGCTGTGATTGGCCCTGTCTGTATCATGTGACTGCCTTGTCTAGTCACAGCTAACAACATAATTGTATACAATGGATGGCATGACAGGAAGCCATCCATTGTATACAATTGACATGTGATCGCCTACTCTGCTCACTTTTAGGCGACCTCTGCAAACCTATCTCTTCAGGGAAGCCTATCCTGCCCTCAGCTAATAATGGAATCTTCTATTCCTCCTACCAGTCCATCTCCCACAGTTATTACCTTTTGTATCACTAGCCCCTCCCTCTTAGATTGTAAGCTCCAAGGAGCAGGGCCCTCCTAACCCTCTTGTATTGAACTGTATCATTTCTGTATTGTCTCCCATTATATTGTAAAGCACTGAGCAAACTGTTGGAGCTATATAAATCCTGTACAATAATAATCCTCTGTGATTGGTCACATCGGTCACACGAAACTGGCAACGGGCCAGTGTAGTGATATGTCCCGTGGACACAGCCAGTGACAGATTGCACCACTGTGCAGCCCCGCGGCCATGTGAGTGGCTCATTTTGACAGGACGTCATATGACACCCAGTCACAACGGCGAGTGTTCCACCCGACCATCAATCTGCTATAGGTCGGGCGGGAAGGTGTTAAGGTAATAACCCCCTCGCCCGCCCCCTCAGCCCCACCTAATACTTACCTGAGCCTAATCTCGATCCAGCGATTTGCACAAGAGCAGAGGCTCTCTCTCTTCACTGGACAGAGAGGCAGCAGTGGGAGCCATTGGTTCCTGCTGTTGTCAATCACAGCCAGTGAGGAGGGAGAGGAGGGCTGGGACGAGCCACACTCTGTGTGAACTCTCTGCGCCCACTATGATTACCTATATATTACATACGTTCAACCTGGTTCAACAGCTGCTCAAAGAGCTTCTAGATGGAATGGCAGGCTTTGTCACATCATTTGTGCGCTTTAATGCTGATGACTTGAACCACAAAGTTTGTGATATCGGACAGCTGGGCTGCATGTTCATATGCCTCAGGAAATGGTATTTGCAGAGCACTAAGAAATGGAAAATAAGCAGCAGGGTGGCCTAGTGCACCGTAGCTTAGCCTATTGGAAAAAGCTGTGAGCAAATAGGCTGTTTCCCTGCAATGCATCTTTATACTTGATTGAGTCTGCAATGTATTTATAATGAGTATTAATGGTTCCAAGGTGAACAAAGCTGACCTCCTATACATTGTAAGTAACTTGGACACTGGAAAATAGTAATCCATACTCAGACACCTGCATAAAATTGCCAACCAATATCAGAACCATTTCTTATCAACCTAATTGCTTTAAAGCATAACTACAACTCAAACTAGAATGCAGTTGACATTAAACACTTGACAGGAGTTGAAACCCCAAATTCTTTTTCTGTCTGTGTATCCCTTAGAGAGACAGCCCCTCACTTCCTGTTTCTGTGACCACCATCAGTGTGACAGGAAAGTGATGGAAATGATCCTGAATATGTATGCATAACCCTTACACATGTAACCTTCAGTAAAAAGAAAATGTTTTGCTTGGCATTCCACTTTCAATTACCAGGAGTGGAAATGCATGCAGCAGAATCCTTAGACTCTATTCACACTAGGTTTTTTAAAAATCGAGGGGGGAATTCTGCCTGCGATTTGCAAAAGCACTATAAAAGTGTGAAACCGCACAATCAGGTTTTTAGGTACCATTCATTTCAATGTAACCTGAAAACGCAGGACTGCGTGTTTTTCTTCACGCAAACAAAATCGTGGGACATGCGACGCCCAAAAAAGGTTCCGGAAACTTGCGTTTTCAGATGCTATTTAAAGTAATGGCACTTAAAAATGCGATCACACTTTTACAGCACGTTTTCAAATTGTGGGCAGAATCGCGGTGATTCCGCCTGCGATTTTAAAAAAACTTAGTGTTTTCTTTTCAAACCTTTTTGCCACTACAGTAAATATTCATGCATTTATTAACCATTAGCCGCCCGGCCAATGGCCGTTTGGCGGCTTCAAATGTGCTCCTGTATTCTGGGTGCACGCCATTTGGCGTGCTCCCGCACATGCGTGGTTGCAGAGCGACACAGCAGTGCGATCTGTCACCGCCCATGCACCTCGGACACGGCCGATGACAGATCTGAGTACCGGCTCCCGTTGCCGGTACCATGTGACCTGCTGTGACCAATCACAGCAGGTCACATGACAGTTGTATACAATGGATGGCTTCATTCATGATGCCATCCATTGTATACTAGTGCCTATCTGTGAATGGTCACAGCTAATCACATGCACATGTCATGTGATTAGCTGTGACCAAATCACAGCTAAGCACAAAAAAAAAAAAAAAAAAAAAAGAAAAAAAAAAGCTGAATGAATCGATTTCATTCAGGTAAATGTTATAGCACAGTAATTCTTTGCTATAAGCAAATTGTGTAAAAAAAAAAAAAAAAAATACTGATCACTTCCCCAAAGTAGTACAATGTTACTATGGTAACATTGTACTATTTTGGTCATAGTAAAATATGAAAAAAAATCTTAAAAAAATAAAAAAAAAATGTAATAAAAAATGAAATATAATAAAAAAAAAAAATAAATATATATATATATATATTTTTTTTTCATACTGTCACCAGTCAGTGTCCCTGTTCACCGCCATGCCAGTTATATGATGACGCTGTACTGCACTGGTGACAGTATGTAAAAAAAAAAATAGTGAAAATAATTTTTTTAATTTTTTCATTTTCCGAAAAATTATGACAAAAAAATACAACTTCAAAAAACTCGCCATGCCTCTTATGAAGTACGTCGGACTGTCTAATCTGCAAAAAGGGGTCATTTGGGGGATATCTGTACTGTTCTGACATTCTTGGACCTCAAGATATTAGATTGGCTGTCAGTACTTCAGGATTGATCAATATTCAGATCTATACCATAGTTTGTGAACTCTATAACTTTCCTACAAACTAAAAAATACATCCTAATTTGGGTTATTTTCACCAAAGACATGTAGCAGAATACACATCGGCCTAAATTTATGAATAACAATTATTTATTTGTAAACTTTTATAACAGAAACAAAGAAAAATGTGTTTTTTTTTTCAAAATTTTTGGTCTTTTTTTGTTAATTTAGCAAAAAATAAAAACCCCAGCGGTGATTAAATACCACCAAAAGAAAGCTCTAGTTGTGTGAAGAAAATGATAAAATTTTAGTTTGGGTACAGTGTTGTATGACCGCGCAATTGTCATTCAAAGTGTGAGAGCGCTGAAACCTGAAAAATGGCCTGGGCAGGAAGGTGTAAAATTGCACGGTATTGAAACGGTTAAACCAAATTTTCTCTATACAGTATGAATGGGATTTACTCCAGTGTATTTTAGTCAGCTAGAACTCTCCCTTAAAAGGTTATCTTTATCACAGAGAACTGAGACACAAACTTGGTGGAGCATTAAATACATCAGTCTTCTATAAAGAGAAGACCAATGATCAACATAACCCAGACACACAAAAATAACAATGTGCTCTAACGTACTCACTGGCGGCTGAGGGAAATACATTGAAAACATGCTTCTTGGTGAAGAAAGGCTATTAGCACAGTTAAATATACATGATCCGCGATCCTGCTGCTACAGCAGCACTCTTAGAATGTTGGCAGCATTGCATCCATAAGAGAGGGTAAATTGTCACTGTGTATTATTTTCTTTATGTAAAGGGCTTGGTAGGCAGCTCATGTGCTTGTGTTCCCATTGAAATGTTAACAGATTTCCAGCAATAGCAAACCCTTGATGTGGTGTGGCAAAAAAAATTACAAAGTGCAGTAGGTAACCTAACACGGTGGAATGAGAGACATGGTTTCCAGTATCAATAACAGTGCAAAAAATACAAGACCATAACAAATTGGAACAGTGTGTTTGAAGCTACTCTAAAAAATCTTACCTGATTATTGTTCGTTTTTAATAAGGTGGGAGGATCATTTCGTAATGGAGATGAAACAGAACTGCTTTCACTATTGCTTCCATCGCTTAGGCTAATTCTGTGGAGATCGAAAATAAATGATAGTCTTAGAAGTGCTTGTTGTATACTGTTTATATGGTTAACCATTGCTTTTTTGCTCAATAAAACAAAGAACCAGCAGCACCTAGAAGATTATACCCTAAAACTAGATAGGGGTGGAGGATTCTTCTGTACATCAATACAATTTTGGCTTAAGTTTATATAAAGCCAAATTTATGGACAATTCAACACAGGCAGAAGTTCAAATGGAATACCTGCCCACAACATAAGCCATTTTGTGCTCCTGATTATTTTTCTTGCCCTAATTTCATGGATAAGTTTAAATAACTTTTTCTTAAATTATAATGTATATTATAATACATGTATTATCTAGTTATTCATACCATTATATCAATTATCATGTTAGTTTCTACTATTGTATCCTTAACAGGTTTCTGTTAATATTGTTTTTTGGCATTTCAAATTTTGAATTCTCGATGACATTCATCAGTAAATTCTTGACTTTTCCTAAACAAAATCAAGCTAGTCAGGCAATTTTTTAATTTTTTTTTATTAATTATTTTGACTTTTTATTAATATTTAATGTAAATATTTTCACACTTTACATTTTATTATTTACATACTATTGTTAATGGGTCATAAATTGTACAGTCTAGTCACTGCCAGAGATGTTTACATCGTTCACAAAAATTCTAAGCCAGATTAGAACCAATAAAACAATGTTTTTGTGCAATAGAAGTGATTCTAATAGAGAGTATTGACTTAGGACACCAAACATTGTGTCCCTACAGCCTATAAAGAACAAAATACAGCCTTGAACAGTTTGAAAATGTAGAAAAAACATATAAATAATGACATATGAAATAAAAAGAAGTCAATTTCCTGAATGCATGTGTTAATCACATATAGTTATCATAATGCATATTTTTGTGCAATAGTGAGCCTTTAATTAGCTTTTGCTGTAAGAATTATTAATATACATAAGGCTTAGATCAGGGGTGTCCAAACTTTTTTCAAAGAGGGCCAGATTGGATGAAGTGAACATGGTGGAGGGCCGAACATTTTTCCGAACATTCTTTGAACCGTTACAATTAAATGCAAATAAATTATTTTATACCAAGTTAATTGCAAATGACATACTTTTCATTTCATAACATTAAGATCAACTGACAGCTAAGTTTTCACAATGTATTGAAAATAAATTTAAAAAAAACTTACCTGCACTAATGTGAAGGGTGAAAAAGGTAGCTGGAGCTGAAGTCTCTGCTCGGCAGCCGGGGTGAGGGGGAAGAGAAACACACTTCACGCTGGAAGCCCGGCCCTGAAGTCACCGCCCTCTGTCGCTCCCAGCGCGGCGCAGTCACGCATGTGCACTGCTCTCAAGCAGAAGACTGTCTGCCACAGAAGGGAGGGTCGTGCGACAGCCTCATTTACACAGACCAGGGAGAACGCGCCGCAGTCAGGCATGCGCACTGCCCTCTGCTCTCAAGCAGAAGACTGTCTGCCATAGAAGGGAGGGCCGTGGGAGGGCCACATTACACAGAGCAGGGAGGGCTGTTAAAGGGCCGTATTAAACCGACCCCCGGGCCATAAATGGCCCGCGGGCCGGACTTTGGACATGCTTGGCTTAGATTATCTCATTTTATAGTAATTTAGTTTTTCCCAAGAAATTAATTGTGTGGTTGGAAAGGTCAATTTAATTGCAAAACTAAATCTGTAATGTAATTTGAAGTAAATGGCTCAAGTAAATTTAAATTAATATTGTCCTATGCTTTAGTAAACGGCTGTTGTAAAAGTTCATTCAAGGTCTGTGAAAAAAATATCTTCCCAGGATAGTTTATGTTCAAGGTTCCCAACATTTTTCTCAATAGGAGAATCATGGGAAGGGGTTTTTACAACCTTGGGGGCTTTCTACTTTAGATAGATAAAACATTTCTGGTTTATAATTATTATCAGTAAGTAATTAGTCTTGAGATCCTGTCAGAATACCAAAAAAACTATAGTAAAAGCTCTTGGCAGTCTCTCCTGTCAGAATACTCATGAGACATATACGTAGACCAGAAAATAGAATTATTTATTTTTTCTCATCTAAAAAAGCCATAAGCTCAGATACAAAAGGATGTAGTAAATTGGATTCATTATGTACCTGCGAGCACGACTTCCTCCATGAATATGTATAGTCCTCTCATTTTCTGAGTCATTGTCTTCAGGATCATCAGATTCTTCCTCATTTTCATCGGAATTTAAGTCTTTCATTATAGACCTCAGGGAACCTGTACAAGACATAAAGAAATCTAGGCAAATTAACATTTTGCAGGGCATTTTCACAATCATGAAAATACTACAGTATAGGAGAATATTAGTATATAGAAAGTTTCATCTTGTCAAAATGAAAAATATTAAAAGAGCCAAATAGCACTTATAGTTTCTGCATGATTTTCCAAACCATTGGCAGTAGGAGAGGTAATGGTGAAATACAACACTCCTTAACCTGTCTTTGACAAATCTCAGGAGAACACTAGCTAACATACTGTATACAAAGCTTACTACTGCTGCCTCAACTGCTCCTGTCAAGGGGTCCACATTCCCCACTGCAATTTTAGGTGCCTATTCAGACCTTGGCATTCTGGCATGCTACATGGGTTTTGCTATTTACCAAGACCATCTGGGGATGACAAAGAGTCTGTCTTTCTAAAGGAAGCAGTGTCTGCGAGGTAGATCCATACAGCACAAACTACATACAGACAATGAAGGGAAATCTCCATCTGATGTACCAGAGTCAGATAAAGGGACAGCAATGTCTTTGGTCAGGGTAAAAGGCTGAAACCACCTTAGGGAGTAAAGAGTAGGCCTCAACATTACCTTATCTCTATCACTAAAAAGCCAAATAAAATTTTTATGGAATGATTGGTGAACATACAGGCAGAGCCACAGTCTGTACAAAAGTCTTAAAGTCTTAATCTAAGAATGGGAGTTTAGCAGTCTGTTGAATAGATTGTAAATGCTGAAAATCGACCCTTCATGATACTCATAGCCAAAAGCTATTCCAGATTTAATTTTAAAATTGCTAGCATATGTCCCACAGAATATTTCCTGGGGTAAAAGCTTCTTTCCTTGTACCAAGAGAAGTATACACTGATCAGCCATAACATTACAACCATTGCCCATTAAAATTAATAACATTGATTATCTTGTGACAGTGGGTAGGATGTGTTGAAAGCAGAAAAATTGGGCAAGTGTAAGGATTCGAGCAAGTTTGATAAAGGGCCAAACTGTAGTAGGTAGACAACTGGGTCAGAGCATCTCCAAAACTGCTGACTCTTGCGGGATGTTCTGGTCTGCAGTGGACAAGACCTACCAAAAATGGTCCAAGGAAGGAAAAACTGATCAATTGGTGACAGAGTCATGGATGGTCAAGGCTCACAGATATATATGGGGAGAGAAGACTGGCCTGTGTAGTCCGATCCAATAGAGGAGCTACTGTAGCTCATATTGCTAAAAAAGTTAATGCTGGTTCTAATAAAAAAGGTGTCAGAACACACAGTGCATCACAGTTTGTTGCGTATGGAGCTGTGCAGCTGCAGACCAGTTAGGGAGCCAAGCTGACCCATGTCCACAGATAAAAGCACCTATAATGAGACGATGAGCATCAGAACTGGACCATGGAGCAATGGAAAAAGTTGGCCTGGTCTGATGAATTCAAGAATGGTTCGAGAAACACAACAACAGTGAACTCGGTGGGTTGATTTGGCCTTCAAAATCTCCAGATCCCAATCCTATTGAGCATCTATAGGATGTGCTGCAAATAAGTCAGATCCATGGAGGCCCAACTTCACAACTTACAGGACTTAAAGCATCTTCTAGAAACAATAGCATACCTTCAGAGGTCTAGTGGAGTAAATTGCTTGACAGGTTATGGTGGGTGTCATAATATTAAAGCTGATCAGTGTATCGTCCATGTTCAGTGGTATACCTTTCAGAAAATGGAATATCCATTTTAGCATGATAGGACTCACCAATTCAGAGAGGCTTCTATTCCTGAAGGAATAGGCTTCAGCAACCATGCTGTAAAAGTCAGCAAAGCAGGATGGTACCACAGCTGCCTGGACCAGTCCAGAGCTGTGAGGATCACCAGAAGGTCCTCCATCTTGTTCTTGCAAAGCGGACGTGGTAGGAGCTTCAAGAGGGAAAGGCACAGATTAGGCTGTACTGAACCACCAGCGCATCCACTTCTTCTGCCAGAGGATCTCTGCACCTGGAGACAAACCTGTACAGTTTGTTGTTGTACCTGGGGGCCAAGAGGTCCACATACATCATACCCCAGCTGTGACACAGGTCCTAGATCACTCCCAGGTTCCCCCAAATCCAGGCACTGCAGGCGGATAAAGTCTGCCTGCCAACTGTCTATGCCTGGAATGTAAACAGTGAACAAGGCATGGAAGTGAATTTTTTGCTCAGGTTAGAATCCATTCTACCTCTCTTTTCTGTGGCAAGACTTCTGGTTTCTCCTGATGGTTTTTTGTCTGAATGGAACCTAATTGGATGACCCAAAGGTAGGCATGTCTAGCATTGTTGGAACAGCCAAATCACCTGGTGCTCTAGAATGTTGATGGGGAGATGGAATTCCCCTGGTGTCCAAGCCCCTCTGCACCCTTTTCTAGTATGACAGGCTGACATCCATTGTGGGGATTCTCCAAGTGATTGGAAAGAAACATTTACCCAACCTCAGATCTGGTTTCATGAATCGACAGGCCAGAGACAATCTGGTCCTCAGTGACAGGCAAAATTATTTGTTCAGCACAATGTCAAGATGGTGAGTTGCAGGGGTCTGAAATGGTATTGGGCAAGTGGGACTTCCATCAGCCCCATGATTTTCATGCAAAAGTGAAGATTCAATCAAATCTTAGACAAAAGAGTCTGAACCTGTGAGCAGAGTGTTTAAAGTTTCTCCTAGGGAAGGAAAAGCTCTAGCTTGAGCTGTGTCTAGGATAAAGCACAGATACTCCAAGTGATGAGTCAACTCCAATGCTCATCCATGCAGGATCCAACCAAACCATTATGGGTTTTTTTTTTGCACTGTCCGCATGACATTATCAGTCATGACTTGTGCTGACTACCCTGTCACCAGGACGTTTTTTCCAGACATCCCACCACAATGCTCTGGGAGCATAACAAGGCAAGGACAGGTTCATGAATTTTGGTGAACACAAGGGGTGTGGAAGAGAGACAAAATTGTAGAGCCATAAACTGAAAGTGTTGGGGAAGTAAAAGGAATTGTTGATATGCTGAAAAAAAATAGAGGCAAGCAAGTACATGTCCTTGATATCTAAAGAGGTCAGAAAGTCTATGTGATGGAGAGAGGCTATGACAGACCTAGTGGATTCTATGCAGAATTTTTGGATCAGCATGAAGACATTTAGAACTTGATCATCCAAGACAGGACAAATGCTCCCTTTTCGTTTGGGAACTGTGAAAAGTTGGAATAAAAATCCTTAGACCATCTCCACCACAGGAAGTTAAGCAATAATTCCCTAATACAGAAAACCTCTAAGAGTTGCATGGAGGTTCGCTAACCTGTGAGATAACAGGGGTGTAAGTGGGTTATCAGGAGTTTCTGTAAAAACAGAGAGTATTGTATCAGAAAAGTTTTTGACATCTTTAGGCTTTTAACTACTTCTCATCCAGTGATGTACTCGTACGTCAGTGGACTTTCGGTGCTTATACCATGGTGATGCCTGCAGCTCTGGTACCCTTTTTTTAGAGCCAGCAGTTGGCTTTCTTGTAATAGCTATCGGAGCAGCTAAGTAGCCACTCAATTGCTATTACAAGCAGCAGGAGGGAATGTCGCCCCCCCCCCCCCCCCCCCACAGCCTTGTGTCGTGGCTTGCTTGGGATCTCCCATCTCACCGGGAGACCCAAGTGACCAGCTGGCGCATACACTGGCTGGCCAGACAGCCAAACAAAGCCCTGATCAGATTTTGCATTTACGTACAGAGGAGGGATTTGGTGTCTTATAGATCTCTCCCTAAAGAGTACCTGTCACATGCGTATTGTTGTCACAAAGATGTTTACAATCCCTGTGACAACAATAAAAGTGGTGTGTAAAAAAAAAAAAATAATTAAAGCAACAGTGTAAAAATAATCAGTGCGCACACTTTATTGGGTACACCTTGCTAGTGCCAATAAAATATCCCCCACACCATCCGTTGCCAGTGCTCCCTTTTCTTGCCTGCAGCAGCGCTGGCTGACACATGGTAGCCAGGTCATGTGACCGGACCCCAGCAGCCTGAAAACTGGCAAGTATACAGCTTTTTGTTACACAAGTTAGTCGAATAAGTGTTAGAAAGGAGAGAGAGAGTGTTGCACCATGCAATTGCCCTCTCGCTGTGTTTTAATATTAGTGCAGGAACCTGACCCTTGCCTCTGACGTTGTGTACCAATTACCTGGATTCTGTCTTTCGTTCAGGTTGGTCCCAACTTCCGTTTGGGCTTTGGACTACCAAATGTTTATAACCTCTATAACTCCATTGTTCTTGATTTGTGCTTTAGGTGTTCATAATTCCTATCCCTGGTTTACACAACATAATCTCATACATGCAAACGTATTCTAAGTTTGTGACTTCCTGGTTGTTACAGCTGTTTTTGGTGAAAAATATTTGACTCAGATTTTTGGGTGTAATATATTTTGGCGGTGAACAATACTGGTGCTTCCACTGGCCTGACACTTACAGTAAATTACAAGTTTGTATTGGTGTGCTCGTGCAAGAGATTATTGTGAGGTTTAATAAAAGCTAATACACTACTCCCGGTGCAAAAAAAACTGGGAAGGCCTGTATGTAATGTGCCAACACCCCCTAAGCAATCTATTTTAATCCAGGGGCGCCCGCTTAGAACGTTTCTTCTACTAAAGTGTCTGACCCTCCTTTCAAAGCTTATTTTTTAAAAAGTTCAACCATAGTTTATGTATTTCCATTAATTTTTTTAATCCACTTGCAATAAACAAGACTTCAAGGTCCAATTAAACCTTAACTGAGTGCATATTTGCATAAACCTAAAACTTCCTTTTTTTAATACAATAATCTACCCATATGCCATAAATGTAAATAATAAGGAAATAAAATATACAATGAATACTACCTACAGCAAAGTGTTAACGTTAGCTCAATAGTGATCTTTAAGAGAAAAAAAGAAACACAGGATAACAAATCAATTTGATTGTAGATGTTTCTGAGGCAGTGCCTTTTGTTTTGCCTGTTTTTGATCTATTTAGTTTTTGATGTGTTTCTTTGAGTTCAAGGTCAAATTCTGGTCAAGCAGGCACTCTTCTCAAATCTCAATGTGAGTTCTATGGTCTTTCCATATCACTGCCTCTGCCCTTTGGTCCTCATCACGTTCAACAAGTGAACAGCAATACCCCAAAAACTGAAGAACACTAGGATCCTGATTTATAAATGCATGAGCAAAGAGGAAAAATATGATGACTGCTGCCTGCAGCAACCAATACGATTTTAGCTTTCATTTTGCAAACTGAGTCTGATAAGATAAATCAGAAGTTATCATAAGAGATAATATGATTTACTATTACAGCTTTTTATTTTCCTTTGAAAACATACACTGCTCCAAAAAACTAAGGGAACACTTTTTAATCAGAGTATAGCATCAAGTCAATTAAACTCCTGGGATAATGAATGATCTGGTCAGTGAAGTAGCAGAGGGGGTTGTTATTCAGTTTCAGCTGCTTTGGTGTTAATGAAATTAATAACAGGTGCACTAGATGGGCAACAATGAGATAACACCCAAAACAGGGATGGTTTTACAGGTGGAGGCCACTTACAATTTTTCCCTACTCATCTTTGCTGACTGTTTTTCACTAGTTCTGCATTTGGCTGGGGTCAGTGTCACTACTGGTAGCATGTGGCGACTCCTGGACCCTACAGAGGTTGCAAAGGCAGTCCAACTCTTCCAGGATGGCACATCAATATGTGCCATTGCCAGACGGTTTGCTGTGTCTCCCAGCACAGTCTAAAGTGCATGGCGGAGATTCTAGGAGACAGGCAGTTACTCTAGGAGAGCTGGACAGGGCCATAGAAGGTCCTTAACCCATCAGCAGGACCAGTAACTGCTCCTATGTGCAAGAACGAACAGGATGAGCACTGCCAGAGCCCTATAAAATGACCTCCAGCAGGCTCCTGGTGTGAATGTCTCTGACCGAACAATCAGAAACATACTTCATGAGGGTGACCTAAAGGCCCAACGTCCTCTAGTGGGCCCTGTAGTCAATGCCTGGCACCAGTGCTTGCTTGGCATTTGCCACTGAACACCAGAATTGGCAGGTCCACCACTGGACCTTTGCAGAGAGATAGAAAACAGCACATCCCTGCTGACAGGAGAGAGATCTGTTTTTTTCCTCCCCACATAGATCTCTACCCTGTCAGTTTCTCCACTGATCACCAGTTATTGACATTTTCAGGAGACAATGATAGTGTGGGTAGGGCAGTGTGCACCCCCTACCCAGTAATGCAAAATCACAGTGCATCTGCTATGGGGTGTTCTTTAAATGGTTAAAGCACCCATCTAAAATGTAAATGGTTAGTTTACCTTTACCAAAAAACTGCCTGTGCAGATAAGGGGCATCTGTAGATAAAAACAAACTGTGCAGCTTTGCCTAAAGTTGAATAATGCCCTTGCTATAGGTTGAGGTCTCTTATGCACCTCATGAAGCCTGACCTGAAAAGTCCCAGGACATTGCTAGGACATTGCTAAGTGAAACCTAGCTATTACTGTTCACCTTCACCATCACAAGAGTGAGCACTCAAACTTTAAGCTCAGAGCTACTGCATCAGAGGAGAGAGAAAGCACATAAAGGGAGGAGGTTTGAAGAGCACACTCCTATGGTGGTGAATAATGTGAAAGAAGCCCAAGAAATGCATTTTTTGATCTGCTATGAATAACCCACAGCAGTTACAATAACGCAACAATAACATTGCTATATTGCAACTCTTCTTGGCACTGTAGGCTGTTCTGGGAGTGTCAATTTACACAGCAGAGAGATCCTGGCTGTTAACCCCCCACCCCAAACTTATAGTAGTGCTTTCTCAAATTTGACTGTCAACATGGATATAGACTTTAAATTAGAACTACACCATCGATTTAATGGTTTACTATATTGGTTACATTCAAGGCACATCTTTGGTGATATCAGTCACAGTTGCCAGTGTGCTTATGTCAGCTTTTAACTTTCAAACCCTCAAATGGCTGGTGTCAGAGATGATCACATAGTAACAAGATAACTGCAGATCTAACTAGAGGTTAAAATGCTGACGTCTTTAGCTGTAAACAATAAAAAAAAAAAAAGCAGTAGTAAAAACCAATGGTTGTCATGGCCTAGCAACAAGGCAAGACATGGGGATTTCTAACAGAGTATCTTGGCCAGGCTGCACATTTTTTTTTAATACCTACTGGGGCCCCTTGACAGCATAGGCTATTTTCTGGAAAGTGTGAACTTTAAGTTCCACTTTAAGATTGCCTGATGTTACACTACTACTCAAGATGTATCCAGGCTTGCCAAACATTCAATCAGTGAAATGCTTGTAAAGGATTTCTTGGAAAGCTACTTGCAATGATGCTTTTTAAACACAACCAATGTACATTCAACACCAAGTCCTTCTAGCAGGAAAAGAAAGTTGTGTCTGTGGATTCTGGATAACAAATTATCCATCACATACCATGAAATTCTATCCAGCAGTGCCCCTTTCCCAACAAAATATCTGGAGCTGCGAGGAGACGATTTATAAATGATAACTTTGGATTTGCTGGTGCTTCAAGGTATTTGCAGTACCTTAAAGCAGCCTAGGATGATTTGTATGTTCGGCAATTGATCTGTTTTGTGCAGATAGTGGATGATATCATTCTCTAACACCACAGGCTCAATTTACAA